CACTCACCCACAACGACGTACCACATCGCTCCGTTCAACTCACCACAACGAGCGGACCACATCGCTCCGTTCACTCCACTAGGGAACGACGCTACCACAGTCGCTCCGTTCAGCTCACCAGGAACGACGCTACCACATCGCTCCGTTTGACTCCAGGAACACGTACCACATCCGGCTCCGTTCACTTCACGCCACGAACGACGTACCACATCGCTCCGTTCAACTCACCCGGCAACGACGTACCACGAGGTCGCTCCGGTTGCAACGTCAGGCCGCAACGACGCACCACATCGGCCTCCGGTTCACTCACAGGAACGACGTACCAGCATCGCTTCCGTTCACATCACCACAGACGAGTACCACAGTCGCTGCCGCTCACTCACGCACAACGACGTACCACATCGCTCCCGTTCCAGCTCACCGAGAACGAGCGATACCACATGCGCCTGCCGTTCAAACTCGGACCAGGAACGACGTACGCACATCGCTCGTTCAGCTCGACCAGCGAACGACGTACCACATCGCCTCCGTTCATCACCAGCAGACGACGTACCACAGTCGCTCGTTCACTCACGCCACAGACGACGTACCACATCGCTCGTTCACGTCACCCACAACGACGTACGCACATCGCTCCGTTCGGAGCTGCACCCACAACGACGTAGCCAGCATCGCTCCGCTTCACTCACCAGAACGAGCGTACCACATCGCTCCGTTCATGTTCCATTGTCGTGAAGTGTTCCGCCTGGGCGGTGATGTGGACGAGGCATCCCGGGTTTGCCAGGTGCATCGTAGGGGGAATGATGTCTGCGTGAGAGCGAGAGACTAAACGCAGAATGACGTGTACCGGCAGTACCAGGGGGGAGGGCGGGGGAATGATGACGGGCGACCGCGATCGCGTGTGCTGGGGTCGGGCGTGGGGTTGTGAGGTTTGTGGGGGGGGGGAATGAAGAAGCAGAAACCTGATGCAGGCAGTTATGGAATTATATCTTAATTCTTATATTATGGATATTATAGACTTCTGATATTTATGATCGTTGCTATGGTCCAACAATTTCTGGTTTTCTGGATGATGGGCGCTGCTTGCTACAGTCCTACCTGCCCACCCGTCGTCGGCGCATCGTCTCGCGAGGAGCTCGGGGAGAGATAGGGAAGCCTTGCTCACGCTGACTCGCTGCCGGGGGGGGGAGGGCGAAGGGGCGGCAGAGGTCAGGCGATGAACGACGGTTGCACGATGACGCGGAGATATCTACGCGTGTAGATATACCGTGCGCAGCGATGTTACGAGTACTGTTGAGATTTCTGGTGGATCCGGTGTGACATGGAGTCGGACGTGACGTCATGCATACACGTGCTATAGACGATAGTGCACTGTGCAGGTTTTATGCAAGATGCACGCACAGCATCACACGCACAACACACACACACATGCACGCATCAGCACCACACACGCCACGCACGCTAACGAACAGCTGCACACAGACACGCACGCACGCCCGCTAACCACCACATGTCATTACACTGCCGACCGGTACTACTTACGAAAGAGTAGACGTCTGCCGAGATGCTTTGAAGAGGGCATCGTCTGCAGCTCTTCGCTGGACGTCTGCTGCCCGTCCTTCTGCCGTCAAAACGCGGTAGTTGGCCACCAGGTGTTCCTACCACACAGACGTACATCCCGTTACACCACAACACCGTCACGCTATATTGCGTCATTACCAGGCTTTTATTCCTCACGAATCTTAGTATTTTTTATAGATGGAAGGAGGAGGTCTGGAAGGTGGGTGCGGGTATGTATCGGATTACATTAACATGTAATTAGATAGTCATTACATGTCCGTATGTCATGACCCCAGCTACACACGGCGAACTCTTATCAGGTCAGATTACGAATTCAATACGCTGTGGACGACGACACAGGGTCAATGTGGCCGAGGCCGGCGGGGTCACTGCGAGGCGTCACTGCAGGTCCACTGTGGTCGGTGTGAGGTCAGCGTGAGGTCAACGTGAGGTCACTGCGGGGTGCGGCGCGGGGTCCCGCACCGCGGAGTATACCTCCGTGTAGATTTCGCCGACAGCACGAGAGCGGGATCTCGCTGATCCAGTGCACGACGCGCCTGCGTCTCTGGCTCCTCCCGCAGCCAGCGACCGGACGGTAGGACTTGTCCGGAAAGTTGCGGTTTTGAGGTCGATTGCCGTTGGCGTTCGCGCGTCCCTTGTCACCGTCCTCGTCTCCTAGAGGGCAGCACCATGCATGCAATGATGACGAAATTCGGGGAATCGCGCGAAAGAGAGAGGAGATGAACCGCATCATAAGCAGTCGCTAGATACGATCCTAATTCCCTAACGCAAGCGTAAACTCTTAAATTAATTTCTAACCCTAGCCTAATTCCATAATTTCAAATTTCACCATAACTTACCCCTATCCCTAATTTATAACGCGTTATTCCTAATCCAAACCTTATTTCCCTAACAAACTAATTTCCACACACTAACCCTAACACTTATTCTAAGCCTAATCTAACCCCTCACCCTTACCCTTACACTAATGTTTACCTTATCCTAACTATAGTTTAATCCTAGTTACCTCCGCCAACAGGGGTTGTTTTTCCTCTATTGGCAGGAGGTTATGTTTTCACACGGCGTGCGTTTGTGGGTTTGTGGTTTGTTTTGTTTGTGTACAGCCTAACTGAAAAGTTATGAACGCGATTGTCATAACATTTTCAGGATAGCTCAGAAATGGTTCTAACTTAGAATTGATGAGATTTTGTGGTGATTCCGGATCCAATTAATAAATAATAATTAATTAATTAATAAAATTGCAGGATAGCTCAGAAATGGGGTAACTTAGATTGATTACATTTTGGTGGTGATCCTGGTGAGTGAACGGAGCGATGTGGTACGTCGTTCCTGGTGAGTGAACGGAGCGATGTGGTACGTCGTTCCTGGTGAGTGAACGGAGCGATGTGGTACGTCGTTGTGGGTGAGTGAACGGAGCGATGTGGTACGTCGTTGTGGGTGAGTGAACGGAGCGATGTGGTACGTCGTTCCGGGTGAGTGTGAACGTCGACCGGACCGTGGACCTAGGGGTCTCGATAACTGTGGCAGCGGTAGCAGCAGCGGCAGTAGCAGCAGTAGTAGAAGCAGCAGCAGCGGCAGTAGCAGCAGTAGTAGAAGCAGCAGCAGCGGCAGTAGCGGCAGTAGCGGCAGCAGCAGTAGCCTGTGTGATGTTACGTACCAACTGCAGTAATAGTGATTCATGTAAAGTTGATGCTGGGCGCCTTTTCCTCTCTGTCTTTCGCAAAGAAAAGTTTTGATGAAGAGAGTTGCCTCACTACCCCCTGCTGTGAAGGGACGGGATTTTCTAGCCATATCTCAAATTCATCACGCTTCGTTTAAATATCTGATAGGAGCGAAGTCAACACTTGCCTTGCCCTCATTGTAAGATGATAATGTCCGACCCTGCTGCAAGTTTTGTTTCAGTACATGTATTTGCATTTAAATTACAATAAAGCAATAATGATTCAATAATAATAATAATAAAAATGATAGGTGGAATGCAGGACTGGAACTATCTTAACTCCAACTGCTTTGAGCTGACCGTCGAGATGGGTTGCACCAAGTTTCCGTATGAGGCAGAGCTGCAGAAGCTCTGGCAAGATCACGAGATGTCCCTGATCGCCTACATGGAGGAGGTGAGTGTGCGTTTGACCTTCGTCTGACCCAAGGTCGCGACCCTCGACGACGAATCGAAGAGCAAATCGGTCGTCGCTAATTTTACAACTTTACGTCGTCAAGTAACGAGGGCATTCGACTTCTGTTTAGACCAAGGTCACATTAACGAAGAGGGATCGTTAATCTTTTATAGTTGTCATTAAGTTTCTAGCTTCGTAGCATCTAATAACAGGGGGCATTTAAGTTCTGTTTAAACCAAGGGCCTGTTCTTCTTCCATAGTTTCCCCCTCCTCTACACTTTTTACCCACCTCATAAACTTAACTCTTCCCCTCCTCTTCCTTTTCCCCTCCACTACCACTCCTCTCCCTACCTACTCATTATTCTGCTCCCTTATAATTTCTAGATGGCACACAAACGTAATGTGATGAGGAAACTGCTCTAGCTCGGCTGACCTATCAACAACATGCTCGGGTAGGGCTGGGGCGTGGCTGTCTCTCTCATACGGATAAGCTATGTTCCTCTCTTGCTGTTCAGGTGCACCACGGCATACGGGGCTTCGTCCGCGCCGAGCGCGGAGGCATGCCACTAGAGGGCGCCATCATCCACGTCCACGACATCGACCACGACGTGCGGTCGGCCACCGACGGCGACTACTGGCGCCTTCTGTTGCCCGGAAACTACACTATCACCGTTGCGATGGACGGGTGAGTGTTACATGTGGAAATATTCAGACGTGGATGGCGTGGTTGCACAGAAAAGAAATTTGTTTCAATAATAAATAATTAATGTAATCAATACTGTGTATATATGAAACGTATAGTAATGTATAATAAGTATAATAATGCTAAATGTATGGATAGTAATGTATAGTAAGTATAATAATGTTAAATGTATGGATAGTAATGTATAGTAAGTATAATAATGCATGAAAACATAACCTCCTGCCAATAGAGGAAAAACAACCCCTTGGCGGAGGTAACTAGGATTAAACTATAGTTAGGATAAGGGTAAACATTAGTGTAAGGGTAAGGGTGAGGGTTAGATTAGGCTTAGAATAAGTGTTAGGGTTAGTGTGTGGAATTAGTTGTAGGGATAAGGTTTGGATTAGGAATAAGCGTTATAAATTAGGGATAGGGGTAAGATTATGGTGAAATTTTGAAATTAGGAATTAGGCTAGGGTTAGAAATTTAATTTAAGAGTTTACGCTTGCGTTAGGGAATTAGGATCGTATCTACGACTCTTATGATGCGGTTCACTCTCCTCTCTCTTTCGCGCGATTCCCCGAATGTTCGTCATCATTGCATGCATGCGTGCTGCCCTCTAGGAGACGAGGACGGTGACAAGGGACGCGCGAACGCCAACGGCATCGACCTCAACCGCAACTTTCCCGACCAGTACTACCGTCCGGTCGCTGGGCTGCGGGAGGAGCCAGAGACGCAGGCCGTCGTGCACTGGATCAGCGAGATCCCGTTCGTGCTGTCGGCGAATCTACACGGAGGTATACTCCCGCGGTGACCCCGCGCCGACCCCGCAGTGACCTCACGTTGACCTCACGCTGACCTCACACCGACCCCACAGTGACCCTGCAGTGACCCTGCAGTGACCCCGCCTCGGCCCCACACTGACCCCGTGTCGTCGTCACAGCGTATTGTATTCGTATCTGACCTGATAGAGTTCGCCTGTGTACTGGGGTCATGACATTACGACATGTAATGACTCCTAATTACATGTAATGTAATCGGATACATCCCCCACCCACCTTCCAGACCCTCCTCCTTCCATCTATAAAAAATACTGAAATTCGTGGGAATAAACCTGGTAATGACGTATCGCGTGACGGTGTTGTGGTGTAACGGGATGCTACGTCTGTGTGGTAGGAACCCTGGTGGCCAACTACCCGTTTGACGGCACGAAGGACGGGCGGCAGACGTCCAGCAAGAGCGCAGACGATGCCCTCTTCAAGCATCTCGCAGACGTCTACTCTTTCGTAAGTTACCGGTCGGCAGTGTATGACATGTGTGTTAGCGTGCGTGCGTGCGTGTCTGTGTGCGTGCGTGCGTGCGTGCGTGTGTGTGTGCATGCGTGCATGTGTGTGTGTGTGCGTGTGTGTGTGTGCGTGCATGTGTGCATAAAACCTGCACGTGCACTATCGTCTATAGCCGTGTATGACATGACGTCACGTCCGACTCCATGTCACACGGATCCACAGAAATCTCACAGGTACTCGTAAATATCGCTGCCACGTATATCTACACGCGTAGATATCTCCGCGTCATCGTGCAACCGTCGTTCATCGGCATGACCTCTTGCCGCCCCCTTGCCCCTCCCCCCCCGCGGCAGCGAGTCAGCTGTGAGCAAGGCTTCCCATCTCTCCCCCAGCTCCTCGTCAGCGATGCGGCCACGACGGGTGGGCAGTAGGACTGTAGCAAGCAGGCGCCCATCATCAGAAACACCAGAAATTGTTTGGACCATCAAAATATAATAATATCAGAAGTCTATAATTCCATAATATAAGAATTTAAGAATATAATTCCATAACTGCTGCACAGGGTTCTGCTTCATCATTCCCCCCCCCCCCCCCCCCGGGTTCCCGCCGGTCGCGTCATCATTCCCCCCCCTCCCCCCTGGTACTGCCGGTAACGTCATCTCGTTTGTCTCTCGCTCTCACGCAGCATCATCCTACGATGCACCTCGGCAACCCGGGATGCTCGTCACATCACGGCCCGGCGGAACACTTCACCAATGGAACAGTGAACGGAGCGATGTGGTACGTCGTTCCTGGTGAGTGAACGGAGCGATGTGGTACGTCGTTGTGGGTGCAGCTCCGAACGGAGCGATGTGCGTACGTCGTTGCGGGTGACGTGAACGAGCGATGTGGTGCGTCGTCTGCGGCGTGAGTGAACGAGCGACTGTGGTACGTCGTCTGCTGGTGATGAACGGAGGCGATGTGGTACGTCGTTCGCTGGTCGAGCTGAACGAGCGATGTGCGTACGTCGTTCCTGGTCCGAGTTTGAACGGCAGGCGCATGTGGTATCGCTCGTTCTCGGTGAGCTGGAACGGGAGCGATGTGGTACGTCGTTGTGCGTGAGTGAGCGGCAGCGACTGTGGTACTCGTCTGTGGTGATGTGAACGGAAGCGATGCTGGTACGTCGTTCCTGTGAGTGAACCGGAGGCCGATGTGGTGCGTCGTTGCGGCCTGACGTTGCAACCGGAGCGACCTCGTGGTACGTCGTTGCCGGGTGAGTTGAACGGAGCGATGTGGTACGTCGTTCGTGGCGTGAAGTGAACGGAGCCGGATGTGGTACGTGTTCCTGGAGTCAAACGGAGCGATGTGGTAGCGTCGTTCCTGGTGAGCTGAACGGAGCGACTGTGGTAGCGTCGTTCCCTAGTGGAGTGAACGGAGCGATGTGGTCCGCTCGTTGTGGTGAGTTGAACGGAGCGATGTGGTACGTCGTTGTGGGTGAGTGAACGGAGCGCATGTGGTAGGCGTCGTTCCTGGTGAGTGAACGGAGCGATGTGTACGTCGTTCGCGGGGAGTGAACGGAGCGATGTGGGTACGTCGTTGTGGTTGAGTAAAAACGGAGCGATGTGGTACGTGTTGTGGTTTGAGTGACACGAGCGATGTGGTACGTCGTTGTGGGTGAGTGAAACGGGCGATGGTGGTACGTCGTTGTGGTGAGTGCCACGGAGCGAATGTGGTACGCTCGTTCTGGTGAGTGCAACGGAGGCGATGTGGTACGCTCGTTTGTGGGTGAGTGAACGGGAGCGATGCTGGTACGCTCGTTCGTGGGTGAGTGAACGGGAGGCAGATGTGGTACGTCGTCCTGGTTAGTGAGACGGCAGCGCACTGTGGTACGTCCCGTGTGCGGTGACCGTGAACGGAGGCGATGTGTAACGTCGTTCCTGGTGACGTTGTGAACGGAGCGATGTGGTACGTCGTTCCGGGCTGAGTGAAACGGAAGCGTGTGGTAGCGTCGTTTGGGGTGAGTGAACGGAGGCGATGTGTACTCGTTGCACGGTGCGTGAAGCGGAGCGATCACAGTGGTACGTCGTTGGCGGGTGAAGTGAACGGAAGCGATGTGGTACGTCGTTGCGGGTGACGTGACGGAGCTGATGTGGTAGCGTCGTTCCTGGTGAAGTGAACGGAGCGATGTGGCACGAGTCGTTGTGCGGTGAGTGAAGCGGAGCGATGTGGTAAGTCGTCGTCTGTGGGTGAGTGAACGGAGGACCTGTGGTACGTCGTTCCTGGTGAGCTGAACGGAAGCGATGTGGTACCGCTCGTTTGCGGGTGGAGTGAACGGAGCGCACTGTGGTTACCGCTCGTTCCCTGGTGAGCTCGTGAACCGGAGCCGATGTGGTACCGCCTCGTCCGGGTGAGTGAACTCGCGAGGCGATGATGGTACGTCGTTCGCGGGTCGAGGTGAGGACGGGAGGCGGCAGCTACGCGACGCTTTCGATCCGACGCACACACAGCTCGTTGCGGGTGAGTGAACGGAGCGAGGTGATGGTGACGCTGTTGGGGCGGGTGAGTGAACCGAGGGCGATCTGGTACGCTCGTTGCTGCCGGGTTGAGTGGAACGGACGATGTGGTCCGTCGTTGTGGGTCGAAGTGAAATGGAGCGATGCTGGTAGTCGTTCCTGTGAGTGAAACGGAGCGCATGTGGTACGTGGGTGCGGGTGAGTGAACGGAGCCGGATGTGTATGTCGTTGCGTGGTGAGTGAACGGAGCGATGTGGTAACCTCGTTCCTAAGGTGACACGTGAACGGAGCGATGTGGTATCGTCCGTGTGGCGTGAGTCGAACGGAGCA